CCTGCAGTTTTCTCAAAGTGCAGATTATAAATATAAAACATTTACTTAATTTTAGCATTTAGCTGGTGCAGTTTATATACATGTGCTCAATAGGCTGACTGTGACAGTAGTTAACACAGCAATTGTGATGAATGTTTGTAATTCATCACAATTATTATAGCAATCTGATTTTTTTTAGCATTTATCTAATTTGAAGTGTTAATATTGTCCTTTGACATCTGCAAAGATGTAGCATGTTGTTAAAATAGCTTGTAGTGAACACTTGAGAGGAAGCCAGTAAAAGCTGTAAGGTCACAGGTGCAAATACCAAACCCATATCCCACTGATATTAGCAAATAGTAATGGCACCTCTCAGAGAAAAGCTTGTCTCGACAAATTGATTTCCATGTGTGAGCGCAACCCCCAGAGACAACAGCTTCTAAAAACCCTTTTCTCTCACAGATGATGAGAAGAATATGGAGGAAAAGACAAATACGTAGAAAGTGTGATGATTTGCATTAGAAGAGGATATGGGTTATGATTAGAACCAGGGTTTATACAGCAGAGTGCATACAATTGCTATTGCCGACTGTGAAACAAATGGAATCTATACGAAATAATTGAGTCTGGGTGAGAGATGTGTGATTTGCACACAAAGACTGACTGACAGATCGAAAGAAAGGAGCGGCATCCAACCTTTAACAGCGCTGCCAGAAAAGACAGTAAATGGCAAGTTAGATTAATAGATTGGCAAGGTCTCACAGTATGGGATAATAATTCACCATGCAAAAGAAAGACAACGGTTTGGAGGTCAGAGTTGATCTGAAAGAATGATGAAGTTAGAACTGTGAATATTAAATAGTTGAACTCTCTCTGGAAACAAAAAGAGGATTTAGAGAAATGGTGGAGTCAAAGGCGGAAGACAGAAGTTGAGTAACATAGAAATGAGCCAGGTTGAATGAACTGAAGCGTGATGAAGGTAAAGAACGGTGCAGTGTGCCAAGTCTGACAGAGGTCAAAGCCTTGTTGAAATACTGCCCAGTGTTCACCTCTGTCGAAATCTGCAGAGCATTTTATGTCACATGTAAATGAACACCGGATTTGAATAAAAGCTCATTCACTGCCTGCTTTTTACTACAAATCACACATTAATTCTTACTGAATGGGAAACGGGCTATTTGATTTTACAAAACCACCTCTAACATGGGCTAATTGCATGCTGCTTTTTTCGTCTGGTCGCATCCCTTGTGAGGTGACTGCATGTTTTTAATATTTGCCCTTAAGACCTCGCAATCCAGATTTTTCCTCTGATCTTGTTCTTACCGCTTTGAATTTCAAAGTCATGCTGGGATTTTTAACTAGCTTCCAACACAAATGATTAACCTTCTTGCTCATTTGATGCCCCGAAGTCTTGTGCTTTTGGGATATTTGTGTGTCATATTTTTTGTTGTTGACCATACTTACAGTAATTTCTGTAATATTTAATGTATAAATGTCGTTTGCATTTAAAATTGTATCTGTGTGTTTAAATAATAATTTGGTACCAACAGCACTTTGTTATGCTTTAAGTAATTGGACTCAGAATCCAATGAGACATATCGCAGAGCACAATGATTACTTTCAGGAGAAGCTCTGCTCAAGTGTGGTGGAGAGGTTGTCTCTAATGTGATTAGCCGTCTGTTCTTTCACATTAAACACACATCAATAATAGCACTAGGAACAAACTATATGCCATTGTCCTTCCATGAATGTCTATGCTGATGTATAGCTATATTTCACCATTGTTTGAAACCAGACAATATCATAATATTTGTCTTGCGAGTTCAGACACAAACATATTAATCGGGGAACATGAAATAGCAATGAAGCAATGGATATTTTTGGCTGTATTTCAAAAGTAGATAAACAAAGGAGTCTAAACGTGTAAGGGCACTGAGTCAACATTATGTGTGTTCGAGGAGTAGGCGGCTCAAATGCCTGTGGCTCGGGGGAACTGTCAAGATTGATAGTGCTCTATCACTTGTGAGCGGAGGTGCAAAATTGGGGCGAGTTGAGCAGTGCGCAGAGAAAAGGATGATGGTCCCTCTGACTACTGGAGCTTGAACAACTTAGATGGAGAGACATGAAACATGTTCTACCAGCTGCTGCATGACATAAAATGAGAAAATTCAATATACAGTGCAACTCATTGTTCTTGAATAACAGTAAAAAAAAAAATTCTAAAGGTGTCATTTGAAAGTTATTCTAAAGCTGCCGAGGGAAAAAGCCTCACAGGGTCCCCAGGGGTATTATCAAGAGGTCTGGAATCAGTGAAACTGAATGAACACAGGCCATGCTGTCTTTATCTTAACTGAAATTATTATTATATTGTATATTATTAGTTTCTGGGATCATTTAAAAGATATATATTTACACTAATTACATTACTAAGTTAGTTACCAGTTACTCCCCACACTGCATATAATGACTTTGAGTAAAGGCTTGAGATCCACTGGTTTAGGCTAATTGCAAACAAACTGCCTCCCAGTAAAAAAACAAAAACAAAAAAACTGCTTTTTCAGTGTAACAAAACTGTCCATCATCACCACACCAACAAGACAACATGACATTTTAACTATCTTCCCTCTGCTGTTAGCCTCTATTGTGTCTGTGCATTGAAGCAGCATTGTGAGGCTGTGAAATCTGCTGAATCCTGTGCTCATTCAGTCATATCAGATCCATCCTTACATTGGATGTCCTTTACATCAGCTGGGGCCTCCTGCCCTCACTTGAAGTGTATTGAACAGGCCTCACCTGCCAGTCACACCAGTGGAGACATCACAGTGCTTTGTGTGCAAAGAGGCCAGTATGACATGGGAGGCTCTCCAACAACAGGAAGATGGCTGTGTTTCTGGCAGACCTGCCCAAAGCAGCTGCTCTTTCAAAAGAAGGAACAAAGCAATCAAACACTGTCTGCCTACGCTGTCACTTGACACTTTGACAGCATAAAGAGATTAGATAATGTTTATTGTTTTATTTATCTGTCGCCATAATTAAGCATTTTCCACAATCTTTCTTGATTTTCTTATACAAAAAGTGTTGTATAAAGTCCCAGTCCTTCAACATGTTTCTTTTTGGCCGTTTGTTTGCCAAGATTCAAAGTTTTGAAAGCCTTGCTCCATAGTCTATAATGGTGCAATAGAGGACACAGATCAGTTCCTGTAAAGATGGGTGGTTGCCAGAGAAAACAGACAGACTGATGTTGTAAAGAGAGCAAAGTTGAGCTGCTCTGGACACCCAGTCTTCGACAATCTGTTCTTGTGGCAATGTCTCTGCAGTGTAATTACAATAATTCACTGCATTAAAAATTACATGTTATAATCTTCCAACATAGATGCTGAAGTAGAGGGTCAGCTTGCCCTAAGATAACTAAACTCCTTCGCACATCAGAGCTAATTTTGCTTGATGGATGAAGCTTGAGGCCTTTTGCCAACTGCTGTCAGTGCTGTGATCTTTTTTATTGCCTCTGTCAAAGACATTTAACACAGTGGCCTGTCGGAGAGTCACCCTGGCATAGCTCACTGCAATATAATCTCCTCTTATCAAGTTTTTTCATCTAACGCCTTGATCTGTCTGATACTTTAGGCCCTTGCTCCATCATCTCCTACCACCTCTGCGTGCCCCTCACTCCTCCGACGTCCCCCGTGTCCTCTAACCACTTGACACCTTTTCAGATTCATCCCCATCAGTTGGCAGACAGCATGCATTTCACTCCGGGGGCACAATGCAGCGATCCTCACTAATCAATGGCAGATAAATCAATGCTATCTCTATTTCCATGCCTCTGCCGCCATTGATTTTCTTGCCCTGTTACTTTGGTATTTGTGGAGACTTGAACTTTGCTCAATTTCACCAAGTTCACTTTGAGGAACAGATTGTAACATCGCACGGCTCTCCGTTTTGAAGGCAGACTGATGTTAGCTCCAGGACTGAGGGTATACAGTTTCCTTTAAACTTTATTGATGAGAAGCTTCAAGCAAACTGAAGTCATTTTTACAGGAGCTGGTCTTAACCTTGGTGTTTGCTGCAGTTTTGAACAGCAGGTGCTGGTCAATACGTTCTTAAACTAGATTATTTGCAAACAGTGCAAGAAATTACCCTTAAAAAGGTTCTTCTGCATATATATAAAAAATATTGTGAAACAAACCAAAGAATATGTATTAATGTATACAGGTTTACATTCTATTTAATTACATTATTTTACAGATTGACATGACTCGTACTAAAGAGGTTGACCTGAGATCTGGTGTACATATTGGCCGAAGAAAACAAACTACTACTACTATTACATGAAAATATCAAATAGTGTATTTTCTCCATTGTTTGGAGAAAATTGGTCCCAACTTTCAGTATTTTTAGCAGTGTTTAGCGCTATGGGTGCAAAAAGCAGTTGCTCCTATTGCTAATGCTAAGCTTCTTTAGGTTCCTTGGCAGCACAATATATTCTCCTAGCCAATCTCTTGGCTTCTGGAAATGCAAGCCGTAAACATATTATTTGAGAAGTGCATTTAATATAGCCCACGGAAAATTATCCACTGTGATATTTTCTGTGCCTTTCCTATAAATAATTCATTGTTTTTATGTGCCCTCATGCTGCTTGGGGGATTGGAACAGCTGAGTGTTTTCACAATTTATTTATGTTCAATCTTCAGTGTATTGGGCGTGCGCTAATCAAACCTCAGTAAACATGCCTTGAATGTTTGTTGAGTCATCTGCTTACCAGCTAATCAAATGGCTTATTTGCCTGCTTGCCTCATCTGTGCTCTGCACTGCTTTGGGTATTTATCAATTAATCGTTGGCCTGTTTGATTCACTGTGCAGTCACACAGCGTTATATGATTGAGCTCTTCAGACTTTTAATGTATGCTCCAATCTAATTCATTTATAGATCTGTTTGGGCTGTGGTGCATATGGTGAAACATTGACGTAAATGTGCAAGTCACATGGAGTTTTTTTTACAAGGCAGGAGATCGGACAGTGACATGCCAGGCTGCCAGGGATTGGTGGGCGATCAGATAGGGCAGAATTGATGACCTGGCACGGGATGGATTTCTCGGACCGGCCTGCCAGACCGAGGTAATACTTTCAGGCTCTTATCAGCGCTGGCATAAGCTGAGTGCTGCATCACCCACTTCCCAGCGTCAGCTTATTATGAGAGCCCAAGATGTGTGATTGCTTGAACTGCCTTTGTAGAATCCTGGCTCCATGTACGCAAATGCAAATGAACTAAAGAACCTCTGCCACAGTGAAAGCTGATGTCTTACTTTGTGTTTCTATTGTAGTTGACTGTTACAACATATTAACTTGAAATATTGATATTGACAATTTAGTTAATGTTTGAAAATGTATTATTGTTGCCTGTGATGTACTGTGATGGGAGACTGCGGCTGTAAAGTGCTGAACTGTTGATGTGTCCTTCGGCAAGACACTTCACCCACATTGCCTCAAATGAGTCTGGTGTGTGTGAATGGTTGGTGGTGGTTGGAAGGGCAGATGGCACATACTGGTTGCCTCGCTTCTGTCAGTATGCCCCAGGGCAGCTGTGGCTAGTAGTTTATCACCACTGTGTATGGAGTGAAAGAATAATGACATGTGAAGTATCTTTGAGTGTCCTGAAAAGTGCTTTTTAAAACCAATGAATCAGTATTATTAATATAACAAAATGCTCAAGCTTTGGAGGTCTGATGGAATTTAACTTTTGCATGACTTTAAATTTGGCACACACCTAACTTTGTTTATAAATAATACGTTTGTCCCAACAGAAAAAAATCTTACAGAACAAATCAGACCAAAACATTCTGTATTCACCTTATTTGAGAAATTGTTTTTGCATGTCATTATTTGATGCTTATGCTGAGAGCTAATTGGTTAATTGACCTTTTGACTTTTCTGTCTGAGAAAGCTAATCTAAAGATGTGACAGAGACAACATAGGAAAACTGTTTTGTGAGTGAGGAGCAAGTTACATGTGGATTTAATTACATCGGTCAATTGTGTTGTGCGTTGAAAGCTCAGTACCACCGCTTTAACTGATTTAGCGATCTGTCAGTTCTGCAAGCATTAGGCAAAGAAAGTTCCCAGACATAATAAACATGCATACAGTATTTGATCGTGTGCCTGTCTCGTTTTTTAAATACAGAAAGAGCTACATTTTTGTATTATTATTTTGTATTCGTGAATAAACAACGTGGTTTCAGACGCACAGACGCCGATCATCTCTATGGTAACAGCCTTCAATTAGCCATGATTGGCTAGCCCGTGGGAATGTTTTTATTCCCCGCGTGCGCTGATTGGTCGGTGGGCGGTCTGCTCGAGCTGACAGTCTGCAGCGTTCCGGGTTATTGTCAGTCTCAGCAGCGCAGTGTGAGGGCAGGACCGCATCCCGGAGCTGGCCGCAGGTTGTAGCCGCTCTCATCAGTGTCTCTTCATCCAAACGACCCGGCTTAAAGTGTCGGAGAGCCGCAGACAGTCGCCTCAGCGCATCTCCTCCTCCTCAGGTCCAGGCGTCTTTACTGCTACTGACAGCGCGAAGAGCAAAGTGCGGAGCCAGGAAGCGACTCCGGGATTTTTTACTTCAGGATTTCACAGGCCCTGCTTTGGTTTCAGGGTACATTCACCTCTACGCGTATTTTATTTTAAACGCGGTTGATCTAATGTAACGAAACAGATGGACTACTCATCCGTGCGTGAAAGAATTTGGAATATTACACACGAAGATACCCGAGGTTTTTCACTTTCTTCCCGGGATGAAGACCGTGCGCGCATCAAGAAAGCTCTGAAATTACTGGTAGCACTTGTGCCCTCGTCATAAATTTGGGAACCAAATGTAGAAAAGGGCAAAGCTGTTTAACTTTGTATGCGAGTGTAATTTGTATGGCTTTAAGTTCTGCGTTTATACTACTGGAATAGGAGGATAAACTTGTTCTACGTCTCCTTGTAAGCGTTTGGATTGTAAAATGTATCTCTTTTAATCTGGACCACACAAGTATGATGCAGAGGGAACAGTGAACGCTGATGCCGGCATGGAGTTTTAGCCTGCACCACGGAGCAATTTATGGTAAATGATTTACACACATTTCATTGTTTTATCTTTGTTCAAAGGAGTTTGGACCGTGATGAGAGTGAGGACTACTACTAGTTAGTAATGAGTCAAACGCAGATGAAACGCTTGTATTCCCAAACGTTGCTCCAGTTATGACGTCTCAGAGAAAACTTAATTTGTCGCTCTGACTGACCCACGGAAAAGGAAGTGTTGTTAAATCGACTTGTTAGAGGTGCTTCCGAATGGCACTATAACCGCTTTCATGTAGAGCGTGCAATTAAATGTATCGTCGTGGGGATTGCACCGCAGGCACAATATGGCACCAGTAGAGCGGCTACAAGAAAAGGTGTGATTCTGTCTCGTCTGTGCGTCACTTCTATGGGCTCGTTTATTGTCTGACACAATTAGTGAATTTTCTCTCCGGCGTGTTAATGACTTGGAGGCTCCTTTACGGTATGCTGCACGTTGCTCATGAAACTCACAAGGACGTGCGCGTAAAGTGAAACTTTTGCCTTTGTCCTCGGATCATGGAAGGCTATCTGGCTCACGATACTTTGACATGTCACAACCCGTAACATGTCCTGAAAATGCGTCTTGATCTGCGGGATTAATGCGTTAAGTCCGTTTGAAGATCCAGTCTGTTGAACTTTGTGCTAATGTTGACTTATCATGCTGCACATGTATGAAGTTGTACATTATGCTGAGTGAGCAGCAAACCTGTACTGTGTGTTTTATCATTAGACGACAAGCATCCTCAGAATTCATCTTCCTCTTCAGCTCAGTCGTTCTCCCCAGGCAGCAGCAGAGAGGCAGCTTACTGAATGTAATATGGGCCCCTACAGCAGCCCTGGCGCCCCCACAGTCAGGGCACCTGCCATAGAGCCTCCATGGCTCTATTGAATAAAACATCCAGTGATGTATGAGGCATGGGCTGCACCCGAGGGGGCAGAACTGCCTCATTTACTTCTTCCACTCTGCGCCTATGACCTGCTGAGCAAATTGTGCTCATATTAGCTCTGCGGCTGCTCCTCACCTAAATAAATAGTCTCCCTAGCATAATGCTCGCCTTAACTCAACATGAAGGTTGGACAAGGCAGTAGAGCTACATGGCAAAAAAGCTTTAATATCTGGGTCAGTGAATTATGTTTTTCAGTTTTATTTAACCATTTCCTTCTTTTGTCCCATTCTGTTGGATCTTTCTCCTATAGGCTCTAAAACCTCTGGCTATAGACCTCGGTTTTATAGTCTGCATCTTATGGTTATATGACCTGTATTTTTGTTACGCACCAATGCTGTTGTGCATTACTTTCATGAATGCTTTTCATAAAATCTCTTAAACACAGTATTTTACCGCTGTAGGCTTAGATTGAACTGATTTGATCACTTTCTGTTATTAAAGTTCCTGTCTGATGGGGCTCAGCTCATAAATACTGAAGTTTAATTTCCTGTAGCATGCATTAATCTTTTTTTAATCCTTGTTTAAATTGTCCCCACACGTCCTGAAGCAGAGGAGCTAATTTTGGTTCTCAATATGTCGATATGAGTTCAACATCTAAATAGCCAGAAAAGTCTATTTAGATTTAGATAAGTCATCGATTTTACATTTTAATCCATAATTTTATGATTTGAAACTATATTTTTAGGCTTCATGAGCACAATTTCTTTCCCTTACCAGCATGTTTTTCTTCCTTCTGTCATAATAATTGAAGAACTTTAACTTTCTTTGTCTTCAGGAACATTATAAGAAGCAACTTTATCCACAAGTAGCAAAAAAATGTTTCATCAAAGTGCTCATTTCGAGAAGGATTCACTTTTTAGCTAACAAAAGCATGTTGCATTTTCTGTTCATAACAAAAGAATATAACCAACATGATTCTTCCTTAAATCCATCATATAACATTATGTGATATGTGAAGTTATAAGATTGTACTTTCAAATTACAGAAACCATGCAAACGTCTCACTGGAGAGCTTGATCAGTGTGCTGTGTTTATTTGACAGACAGTGTCCGCTCCTCAAACAAACCGGTTTTGTCCAGCCCTCACGACATGACACACTGCCAGCATCTCCACCTCCCACTCAGCCTCTTGTCAACTTGACTGTACCTCTTGTTTAATGTATAGCCTTGCATTGTAACTTGTTAGGATCTATTTCCTCTCTTGGAAACACAGTAAAAATGAGTGTCTATGCAGTTAATGAGTAATGAACTGTTATGGCGAGCGCTAAGCAGTTTATAGTTGGCTTTGATCCAGCTGGAAAAGTCTGGAGAGATGTGATTTTTTTCCCCTTTTTCTCCCAAAGAGTTCTTGGAGGGGACTAGAAGAGGAATAAAGCAAATCTGACAAGCTTTCCAACAGCAAATTTGCTCCCCTTAAAAACAATGCCGCTCTTGCTTTCCTCATGGTCACATTGATTTGTTCTGGGTGACAGTGCAGGCTGCTGTGAAATCACCCCAGCGCCATTGATCTGAAGTAGAGGTGGAGGCGGCACAGAGGGAGCTAGACTGGAGAGCAACACAGGAACATTTTCGGTGCCCTCTCCAACCTGAAGCTGTAATAAAAACCAAGGCAGTGCTTAGTATCTGATCAGCCCTCTGCTCCAGCCACAACCAGCAGCCTCGCCAGCACTTTGATTTGTTTTGGAAGCCTGTATATGCGCTGTTTGATTTGCTATTGTGCCCAGTCGTGTTTCATATTATCAGCAGAACTCTTTATTGCTACTGTTTTCCATGCCAGAAGCAAGGGATTTTTTATCTCATGCAGGCCTCTGATTAATCTCCCCTCTATGCCGCTGTACTTTAATCTTGAATGGGAGATATCTGATTCTCCTCGGCTATTGAGGAAGATCAAACTTTAATGGAACAAGGAACCGCACATCATCCTAATCTCTATCTCCTGCATTTTGGTCGACTGCTCTCCCTCGGGCTTTGTAGCTTTCAGCAGAAGCAGGAAATACATCAGACAGATAAGACGTTTTCTCTTCATGCTTAGGTAATTTATTCCCTATTGACAATAAGCGGCACTTACATCTTTGCTGTTTGATTACCAGATTGACTTGGCAGTAGCATGGGAGATAAGCTGGGGCACACATGTCTGTCTTTGGATCAATGTGGGAAACTTTAATTGGGGCTTGTGGTGAGGTCAGAATATGTACTTGCCTTGTCGGTGTTTATTGACATTTAATAGATGAGCCGTGTGTGGTCTGCGTCATCCGTCTATAATAGCCTTGGGAGAGTCACATCCGAAGTTCAGGCCAATCAAGGTTCAACACATTTGTTTATCCAACTGTCTGAGCAAGAATTAGCAATCAACCGTTCATTTTTCTATTGAAATCTTCCCAATCAATGAATAACAATGCACATGCTGTCCATGTCCCTCACTGGTACTGACTGCTATAATATTGCTGTAAATGGAAACGCTTATGAGGTGTCGCACCTACCCAAATGGTTTGTGTCTGTGACAAAAAGAGGCCATTACCCAATTCTAAGGTGGCTGCTGGGAGGTAATGAAATTTTCACTGACTGGAGAAAACAATGTTGTCTCGTCCGGATAGTAATTGCACAAGCCACATCACCATTTTCCTGAGTTCAGTGCTAATGCTGGCTACACGATTCAATAAAACTGGAGATTGTTATCATTTATTGCTTGAGCCTTGTCAGCAATTTATAGACTAGTTGCAAATAAAACTCAATCTATTTGTTGAATTTTAACCAGTACTATTTAAAGGAAGAATGCTAATGTTTACATGCAATGTCAGTTACAATGACAAGCCTCCAAACGGGAAAATGGAAATGTTCCTGTCCCATTATTATTTGTATCATGAAAGAGTTGAAGTTCTGTAGGATATTGCGCCCTATGGCCAGAGATCTTCTGTTTTCCTGGCTAGGCTCACATACACTAACATAGGAGCACTGACATGACCACATATATGAACACACACACACACAGTGACACACACACTGCTCTGTTTTATTACCTCCTGCCTGCTGCTGGAATTGCTTTCCTCCCTCGAGTGAGCCAGGCAAAGCCGGCTTTATTGTGTTAACCTATTTGTGTGTCAAGAGCGATTGCTGCGTTCTTTATCTCTGTTTGTATTCGGACGGAGAGACGGAGGGGCGAGCAAGGGAAAGTGGCAGAGGAGAGAGAGGGTTATTACAGGAGCCAGGCCAGACACTGAAGTTCAAGCTATGGACAATCAAAAGAATGTTCCTACGTCACTCTTGGTTATAATAGAGTGTAATGTGTCAACAAACTCTTAACAGATTGATATTGTAATCATGCATGTTCTCTGTGGTTTTTTTGGATTGAAGTTTGCTTTTTGTGATCATCCTTTCACCATACTTTTTGAAAGACAATGACAAGACCTATTCTTTCTGAGTGCTCTTAGTTTTATTAGGATTTTATTGAGTTCAACTCATTGCTGACCTCTGTGGCATCATAAAGAGCCTAACTAGCTTCTGATGAATGAGACAATTGGCAACATTCCAAGCAGTTGAACTTGTGATTGGACATGGATTTGTTCAGCCACTGACATAATAATAATAATAATAATAATCCATTCATTCAGGTCATTTAATATATATTAATGAATATAGAGTAAAAGGGGTGTAGGAACAATTAAAATTCCCTACTAGATGTTGTGTTTAGTGCTCATTTCCTTAACCATGCACCAATGCAAAATGTGACAGCTCTGCATATCCTGGGAACTTCCTCAGGCAAGCCCCCCCTCCTCATTTCCGTGCCATGCTTCTGTGCCTGCATGTATGGAACAGCTGTCCGACTGTCAGTTTAGTCAGTCAGTGGGTCCCAAGGCAACATCTGTAGATCTGAACTCACTGGGGCGTCCTGCCACTCTCGATGTCCCAAACAGTCTGTAGTTTACAGGTCCCTAAGCGCTCTGGTCGCCATAGTCACATCAGCCCTGTGTCTCTACGCTAATTGAATTGGATCTGATCTTTTGTCTGAACTCTAACTTTAGTCATTTTTTTGCGAACAATGTTTTACGTAATTTTCATGT